ATTATAACGAAAAGCAAACTCGTTTGCATATCTTTGAACATTTTTCTTTTTCACCCAATGGTAAGTGCCATAAATCCCTCTCTTTAAGCAAGAATTAAAGTTTTCAGCTGAGTTAGTGGAAGCCTTACCATTGGCATATTGCTTTTTCCTATGAATAACTATTTCATGGTTATATCATTTTTTTAAACCATTATAAGCCTTTCACTCGTCAGTATAAACATTAGAACCCTCTTCAATATAAGTTCTAATTATTGGTTCTAAAGTTTTCTGCTCCACATTAGGGACTTTCTCAACAATTACATTACCTTTTCTTTCTATTATTACTAACATAGGAACTTTGTCTTTTCAACTTCTACCTTGGGAATGAAGAACTTTTTTGTCTCAATGTCGGTTGGAATTAGAACCTCCTACATAAGTTTCATCAATTTCTACCTCTCCTCCAAACATTTTTTTAAATAGTGGTGTGTCGCAAACATTTCGTCAACGGCGTAGGATAAATCAAGCGGTTCTTTGAGTAGTCTTAAAATATTTAGGAAGTTGGAGAAAATTAATGCCTTTTTTGTTAGAATAAAGCAAAAATAAAGATACAAACCAGTTCCTTAATGATATTTTAGAATTTTCAAAGATGGTTCCTTTTTTAATATTGAAGCGTTTACCAGTGTTCTTACACATGTATTGATTATTAGCACATTTCCAAACTTTTGAGGCAGGGTCAAAGGGAGAAATTGGTTTATTATTTCAAAGAATTTTCTCTAAATAATCAATGCACTTTTGTTCGGAGGAAAAAAAATCTAGTAAATCAGTAAAATTTTCAAATTGGAACAATCCTTTAAAACTATTTTCAACTGTCATAATCTTTCTTTGGTTCTTTTTTTCTTGCTAAGAAGTAAATAATTGCTCCAATAATTATTACTAATGCTATTCCTCCTCCAATTACCCAGGGAGATTGCCAATTAAATCCATTTTTGTTCTCTCTCTCTCTCTCTCTCTCTCTCTCTCTCTCTCTGCTAATATCTTATCATTTAGTTCCTTTTCTTTTCTCTCGAGGAATTCCCTCTGGAATTTTTCTGCCTCTTTGCTAATTTCTTTACTCTCATCATCAGAAAGTTTATTAATAATTTTTCCTATTTCTTTAACTTCCGCTTCTTCAAACTTATTCATAATTCTCCGACCTTCTATTTCATCCACTTGAAGAGGTTTTATTTGAGTTTCTAATTCCGAACTACAACTTTCACACATTTCATCTCTGGAAGAACTACCCCCTTCATAATTAAAATGAGGAAGCATCTTACCTTATTTTATAAAAGAATTTTCATAAAACTTCTTCTGACTTTTCTTCAATCGGTTTTATTAGTTCTTTGTATAAATCTCTTGTTTTAGAAAGAATGGTTTTTAGTTTTTGATAGTCGGCAGGGTATTTATTATTTAACCTAGGAAGAATTATCTTTTCAAATGATTCCAAATCCATAGAAACCTCATATGCTTTTCGACTATATTCTCATTTTCATATTTCTCATCCTTTATTTTTAGGGTTGTCGGGAGTTTTATCTATTATTTTGTTACAAACATTACAGTTTCAATTCATATTCCATTCAATTACTTATACTTGACATTATTTAATAAGACAGACAATTTCGGCAAAATTGAAAGTCCTGAAGTATCGTTATCTTTCTTTCTGATTTTAATCCTCATTTTTCGCACAAAAAACAAGGAACCATTTCAATTTCTCTTCTTTTTCTTTTGGATTTGTTTTTAAAAGTTGCTTTTGCTATTTCAGTTTTTTTTAGGATTCTTCCCATATATTATAATTTTACAATTCAGGGAGTTCTTAGAGTTGACTTTAACAAAAAAAACTATATTCGGTTTGAAGTTAAGTAGGCAGATAGTATTTTTCTTTTGGTTGTATCTGTGATTTTTTCTTGGTAGGAAAAACCTCTAGAATCAGTTCATAAAAAGCGCAAACATGGACCACAAATTTTATCCTTAGTTTTCTCTCCTGTTCAGTATTCCCAAGTATAGAGTTTGCTGTGACTCCGAGTAGCATTATTTCACTTAATCCAGAAATCTTGGGAACATTGGAAGCACTTAACCTTAGTTGGTAAGCCTCTGGTGCTACCTGAACGACAGATAATCTCAACTAATAGTTCTTCATCTGTGAAATTTTTTAGTTCTTTATTTTTCCCTTTCATATTTTAGTGTAAAATTATACATATTACACCGTGCAAAACCAATGCCAACTTTTAATTTATTTTAAAGTAATCTCGACAATGAAGGAAATTTTTAGTTAAATCTTCTTGATTGAGAAGAGTAATTGTTTCCTCAATGGCTTTGCTTAACTCTTCTTCGTTTTGAAATCGTTTTCTTCTAAGAACCCTTAATGAAACCAACACATAATTCAACTGGATTTAACATCGGAGCATAAGTGGGAAAATATTTAAGAACAATATTCTTTTGCTGGGTTAATTCTTCCATACTTAATGATAACTCTTCTAATTCCTTGGTAGTGTAATGAATAGGAGAATTATCTAACAAAAGAAAATATAGTTCATTAGTGGGCAAGTCAAGATTTTTAATAAACTCATAAAAATCCACTGCCTTGGTTCCTTTTTTAACTTCTTTGTTTTTATCCTTTTTGTCTTTCTTTTTCTTTTCATTCTTAATTATCTTATAACTGACTACTGGTTTTTCATT